CTCTCCTCTCTTGCATCCTCCATATACACCCTCTGCAGAGCTGCCAAGCTGCCAGTGCGCTATGTGATCCATGCTTCCCTCATACTCTCTTCCCTCATGCCAACCTCACTCCCTCATACTTCCCACCTCTCTCCTCTCTTGCATCCTCCATATACACCCTCTGCAGAGCTGCCAAGCTGCCAGTGCGCTATGTGATCCATGCTTCCCTCATACTCTCTTCCCTCATGCCAACCTCACTCCCTCATACTTCCCACCTCTCTCCTCTCTTGCATCCTCCATATACACCCTCTGCAGAGCTGCCAAGCTGCCAGTGCGCTATGTGATCCATGCTTCCCTCATACTCTCTTCCCTCATGCCAACCTCACTCCCTCATACTTCCCACCTCTCTCCTCTCTTGCATCCTCCATATACACCCTCTGCAGAGCTGCCAAGCTGCCAGTGCGCTATGTGATCCATGCTTCCCTCATACTCTCTTCCCTCATGCCAACCTCACTCCCTCATACTTCCCACCTCTCTCCTCTCTTGCATCCTCCATATACACCCTCTGCAGAGCTGCCAAGCTGCCAGTGCGCTATGTGATCCATGCTTCCCTCATACTCTCTTCCCTCATGCCAACCTCACTCCCTCATACTTCCCACCTCTCTCCTCTCTTGCATCCTCCATATACACCCTCTGCAGAGCTGCCAAGCTGCCAGTGCGCTATGTGATCCATGCTTCCCTCATACTCTCTTCCCTCATGCCAACCTCACTCCCTCATACTTCCCACCTCTCTCCTCTCTTGCATCCTCCATATACACCCTCTGCAGAGCTGCCAAGCTGCCAGTGCGCTATGTGATCCATGCTTCCCTCATACTCTCTTCCCTCATGCCAACCTCACTCCCTCATACTTCCCACCTCTCTCCTCTCTTGCATCCTCCATATACACCCTCTGCAGAGCTGCCAAGCTGCCAGTGCGCTATGTGATCCATGCTTCCCTCATACTCTCTTCCCTCATGCCAACCTCACTCCCTCATACTTCCCACCTCTCTCCTCTCTTGCATCCTCCATATACACCCTCTGCAGAGCTGCCAAGCTGCCAGTGCGCTATGTGATCCATGCTTCCCTCATACTCTCTTCCCTCATGCCAACCTCACTCCCTCATACTTCCCACCTCTCTCCTCTCTTGCATCCTCCATATACACCCTCTGCAGAGCTGCCAAGCTGCCAGTGCGCTATGTGATCCATGCTTCCCTCATACTCTCTTCCCTCATGCCAACCTCACTCCCTCATACTTCCCACCTCTCTCCTCTCTTGCATCCTCCATATACACCCTCTGCAGAGCTGCCAAGCTGCCAGTGCGCTATGTGATCCATGCTTCCCTCATACTCTCTTCCCTCATGCCAACCTCACTCCCTCATACTTCCCACCTCTCTCCTCTCTTGCATCCTCCATATACACCCTCTGCAGAGCTGCCAAGCTGCCAGTGCGCTATGTGATCCATGCTTCCCTCATACTCTCTTCCCTCATGCCAACCTCACTCCCTCATACTTCCCACCTCTCTCCTCTCTTGCATCCTCCATATACACCCTCTGCAGAGCTGCCAAGCTGCCAGTGCGCTATGTGATCCATGCTTCCCTCATACTCTCTTCCCTCATGCCAACCTCACTCCCTCATACTTCCCACCTCTCTCCTCTCTTGCATCCTCCATATACACCCTCTGCAGAGCTGCCAAGCTGCCAGTGCGCTATGTGATCCATGCTTCCCTCATACTCTCTTCCCTCATGCCAACCTCACTCCCTCATACTTCCCACCTCTCTCCTCTCTTGCATCCTCCATATACACCCTCTGCAGAGCTGCCAAGCTGCCAGTGCGCTATGTGATCCATGCTTCCCTCATACTCTCTTCCCTCATGCCAACCTCACTCCCTCATACTTCCCACCTCTCTCCTCTCTTGCATCCTCCATATACACCCTCTGCAGAGCTGCCAAGCTGCCAGTGCGCTATGTGATCCATGCTTCCCTCATACTCTCTTCCCTCATGCCAACCTCACTCCCTCATACTTCCCACCTCTCTCCTCTCTTGCATCCTCCATATACACCCTCTGCAGAGCTGCCAAGCTGCCAGTGCGCTATGTGATCCATGCTTCCCTCATACTCTCTTCCCTCATGCCAACCTCACTCCCTCATACTTCCCACCTCTCTCCTCTCTTGCATCCTCCATATACACCCTCTGCAGAGCTGCCAAGCTGCCAGTGCGCTATGTGATCCATGCTTCCCTCATACTCTCTTCCCTCATGCCAACCTCACTCCCTCATACTTCCCACCTCTCTCCTCTCTTGCATCCTCCATATACACCCTCTGCAGAGCTGCCAAGCTGCCAGTGCGCTATGTGATCCATGCTTCCCTCATACTCTCTTCCCTCATGCCAACCTCACTCCCTCATACTTCCCACCTCTCTCCTCTCTTGCATCCTCCATATACACCCTCTGCAGAGCTGCCAAGCTGCCAGTGCGCTATGTGATCCATGCTTCCCTCATACTCTCTTCCCTCATGCCAACCTCACTCCCTCATACTTCCCACCTCTCTCCTCTCTTGCATCCTCCATATACACCCTCTGCAGAGCTGCCAAGCTGCCAGTGCGCTATGTGATCCATGCTTCCCTCATACTCTCTTCCCTCATGCCAACCTCACTCCCTCATACTTCCCACCTCTCTCCTCTCTTGCATCCTCCATATACACCCTCTGCAGAGCTGCCAAGCTGCCAGTGCGCTATGTGATCCATGCTTCCCTCATACTCTCTTCCCTCATGCCAACCTCACTCCCTCATACTTCCCACCTCTCTCCTCTCTTGCATCCTCCATATACACCCTCTGCAGAGCTGCCAAGCTGCCAGTGCGCTATGTGATCCATGCTTCCCTCATACTCTCTTCCCTCATGCCAACCTCACTCCCTCATACTTCCCACCTCTCTCCTCTCTTGCATCCTCCATATACACCCTCTGCAGAGCTGCCAAGCTGCCAGTGCGCTATGTGATCCATGCTTCCCTCATACTCTCTTCCCTCATGCCAACCTCACTCCCTCATACTTCCCACCTCTCTCCTCTCTTGCATCCTCCATATACACCCTCTGCAGAGCTGCCAAGCTGCCAGTGCGCTATGTGATCCATGCTTCCCTCATACTCTCTTCCCTCATGCCAACCTCACTCCCTCATACTTCCCACCTCTCTCCTCTCTTGCATCCTCCATATACACCCTCTGCAGAGCTGCCAAGCTGCCAGTGCGCTATGTGATCCATGCTTCCCTCATACTCTCTTCCCTCATGCCAACCTCACTCCCTCATACTTCCCACCTCTCTCCTCTCTTGCATCCTCCATATACACCCTCTGCAGAGCTGCCAAGCTGCCAGTGCGCTATGTGATCCATGCTTCCCTCATACTCTCTTCCCTCATGCCAACCTCACTCCCTCATGCTTCCCTCATATTCTCTTATCCACATTCACCCTCAACTGCTCTTAAAGCTGAAGTATACATTTGTCGGCAGGGTTTCGGGTTTAGGGAGTGCGCCCCACAGGTTTGGGGCAACGTTTCAAATTTCAAAAGATTTTGAACCCCCCCAACGCTTGCTTGCTCTCTGTTCTGATTCGTTTCCTCCCCTCGGGAACATATTGAGGGAGGGCAACAAATGCGCGACCAAATACGACTTCATACCCATGTGCACACACCCTCACACTGTCTCACTACTCGCACTCACCTCGCTCTCACTGTCATTCTTAACCACTCAACTGCAAGTATGCCTTTTTTTCTGTTTCCTTCGCACAGGAGCATACTAAGGGAGGCCAACAAGTGCTCGATTAAATACGTTGCCATATGTGCTATATCATGCGGCATTTTCGGGTATGGCATTCTTTTCCCCTACATAACATTGTATGCGCTCTATTTCACACCCCTTTGGTTGTATGTTCTCTCCTCCTGCTGTATCTTCCTCTCTCCATCCTTGTGTGTACTCCTCGTGAGGCACCTCTTAAATCTATATCTTCGTCCTTATCTCCCTCGTCTTCTTTCTGTATGCTCCTTCCGCTGCTGTGCTGGCCCCAGGTATCCCCCTCAAAAGGGCGCCCAAGCAGCAATCGAGGTCCTGAGCAATGAACCATGGGGATCCGTGCAAGAGGTACTTTCTGAACAGAATCCTTCTGAAATAAATCTTGTGTGTGTAATGATCCGACATTTCAGTGTTTTTTTCTATCCTTGTCAAGGTGTTTTTCCCCTCCCTTCTCCTCGCTCATCCCTCTCGTTCTACCTTCTCCTCCCTTTCCCCTCCTTGCGAGGTGCCTAGTCCGCTTCGTTTTCCAGTGATGTGATGTGGCTAGCAGTGCCATCCTGTCAGTGTTTGCTGCTTGTGGCATTTCTAAACTACCGCCATTGTTTGTCCGAACATATCTTGACACATCCTATTCCCCGCCTTTGCCTTCCCACAGGTGCATTTTTTCCTATTCGACAATCAGATGCCACCAACCTGCCACAGCTGCTGCTGCTGCTGGTTGCCCTGTCCCTCATTCTCCCACTTCTCCTCTTGTCTCTGACATGCCTGCGCTGCTGCCTACAGGTGCATTTCGTCCTGTTTGATAACAAGATGCTTAACGACTGGCTGGCTGCTATCCATGCCGCCAATCTGCCACAGCTGCTGCTGCAAGGGTCAGACCACCACCACAAGAAACCCATGTGTGCTCCTATTTTCCCTTGCGACTCCCCCGCCTCCACAGGTGCACTTTGTGCTGTTCGACAATACGATGCTCAGCGACTGGCTTGCTGCCATCCATGCTGCCAACCCAACCTGCCACAGCTGGCACTGCAATGACCTGAATGTGTTCTCTGCACTCCCATGCTATGCCCCTCCCACAGGTGCACTTTGTGCTGTTCGACAATACGATGCTCAGCGACTGGCTTGCTGCCATCCATGCTGCCAACCCAACCTGCCACAGCTGCCTTTTAGAGCGATGAGGGTGATTTGCTGGTGGTAGCTCATGATGACTCGTGCTCCCAATGTTTCCGCTGCACTCCAACAGGTGCATTTTGTGCTGTTCGACAATACGATGCTCAACGACTGGCTGGCTGCTATCCGTGCTGCCAATCTGCCACAGCTGAAGCTACAGCGGTCACCAATGCCACTGCTGCAGCAATCGCGAAATGGGTCAACACAACAGCAGGGGAAGCAGATGGTGAAAGGGGAGGTGAAAGAGGGGATGGGGAAGAAGGTGCAACGACAGGGGGCAGAGGTAGGAGGAGAAGGAGCAAGGCCAGCACAGCAGGAGGAGAAAAGGCAAATGCAGCAGGGAGCACAACAGCAGGGAGTGCAACGGCTGCCGAAGCAGACAGGTCTCCATGCACAGCAGGGACTGCAACAGCAGATGCGAGAGCAAGCACAGCAACAAACGCAGCAGCAAACACAGCGGCAAGCTGGGAAGGCCCCCCAGCAGACGCAGCAGGAAACACAGCAGCAAGCTTGGAATCTTTCCCCGCAGACACAGCAGCATGGAGATCTGCTTGCAATGGAAGGTTCATCATCCAAGGCAGCACGACAGCCACAGCAGCAGCCACAGGAGCTGCCTCAGACGCAGCTTCAGACACAGATGCAGCAGCAACAGGAGCTTCTTGAGAAGTCACGGCAGCAGGCATCCCAGCAGACACAGCAGCATAAAGAACTGCTTGCAGTGAAAAGGTCATTCCCGAAGGAAGCACCACTGCTGCAGCATGTGCAGAAGAAGCTTCTTCTAAACCGGGTGCAGCAGTATCGGGAAGAGCTGCAACTGCAGCAGCAGCACGAGGCACAGCAGCAAGAACAGCCGATTGCAGAGGAAGGGCCATCATCCATGGCAGCATGTCAGCAGCAGCAGCAGCAGCAGCCTCAGAAGCACTCTCAGAAGCAGCAACAGGACATGCAGGTTCAGAAGCCACTGCAGCAGCAACAGGAGCAGGCACAACAGCTGGCTAATAAACAGAAGCCGGATTCGAGCCAGAAGCAGCCTGCCTCTGCTCATGCCTCTGCGCCTGCCTCTGCGCCTGCCTCTGCTCCTGCCTCTGCGCCTGCCTCTGCTCCTTCCCTTGCCTCTTCTGCTGCCGCTTCCTCTTCCCCTGCCTCTGCCTCTGCCCCTGCCCCTGCCTCTGCCCCTGCCCCTGCCCCTGTCCCTTCCCCTGCCACTGCCCCTGCGCGTGCCACTTCCCCTACACCTGGTTCCTCTGAACCTGATCTAAGCACGCTGACGAGCGATAAGGATGGGCGGGTGGTGGGAAGGGGAGCGAATGGGAGGAGTGGTGGGGGGATGGAAGGCGAGAAACGAAAGGGGAAGGAAGTTGGTGGTGACGGAGGAAAGAAGGGTGATAATAGTAAGGTAGATATCAACAAGGGAAGCCACATGGGTAAGGGTGATAACGGCATGGGTGATGCCTCTGGGGATGTTGTGGGGGACAGCACCGGGAACGTGGTAGTGAAAGACAGCAACTCAGTCGCGGTAGCAGATCTGCTTCATCTGGAGGCGGAGGAGGAGGAGGGAGAGGGGGAGGAGGGGGGGGACATGATAGTCTGGGATACAAAGGGCATGGAGGCACGGGGAAGACAGGACAAGAAGCCATATGGACCAGGAAGCAGGAAGGCGTGGGTTGGAGGGGGATGGATGCTGACTGGTGGGAAGACGGAGAAGCTGGGTGGTGGGAGTGGAAGGTCCCTTGATAGTTGGGCTTCTGTTCTCGCTGCTTCTCTGGATTCTCCTCCGTTTGCCTCTGTGACTAACACTTCTGCCGCAACTCCGGCTGTACCTCCGGTTGTAGCGCCGGCTGCTGCTCCAGATGTTGCTTGGGCTATTACTTCGGCAGCTGTTACGGGTGCCTCTCCTGCTGCTGCTCCTCCTGCTTTGCCTGCTTCTCCAGATGCTTCACCGGCTGCTCCTTCAGCTGCCCCTGTGACTGAAGCTGCAGCTGCAACTCCGACTGTTCCTCCGGTTGTAGCGCTGGCGGCTGCTCCAGATGCTGCTCGGGTTATTGCTCTGGCGGCTGCTTCTCCTACTACTGCTCCAGCTGCTCCTCCTGCAGTAGCTTCGGCTGCTTCTCCGGCTGCTCCTTCAGCTGTCTCTGTGACTAAAACGCCTGCTGCAACTCCGGCTGCAGCTCCAGCTGTAGTGGAGGCTGTCGCTCCAACTGCTACAGCTCCTGCTGCTGCTTCAACTGCCGCCCCAGCTTCCACTCTGGCTGCTGCTCAAGATGTCTCTTCTGCTGTAGCCCATACTGCTCTTCCGGCTGCTACAGCTACAGCTGTAGCTCCTGCTCCACCTGCAGATTTGACTGCTGCCCCTGCTTCCAATTCGGCTGCTGCTCAAGCTTCTTCTCCTGCTGCTGCTTTGACTGCTGCTCCATCTTTCGCTAATGCTGCCTCTCCTGCTGTAGATCCAAATGCTGCTCCGGATGATACAGCTACAGCGTCACCTGCTGTACAAGCTTCTTCTCCTGCTGCAGCTCCCTCGGTTAATGTAGGCAACAAGGGTTGGAGTGGAAACATTGTTGCTGGCTGGGGGAGGAGTAATTCGGCTAGTATGGCTTTCGGCACCCGTGACACTTCTTGGGGAGTGGAGGGACGTGGTGTTGAGAAGTCCCTTGGTTCTTGCGAAGGAAAGGCTGGTGGTGGTGACGCAGCGAAGGCTGGTGGTGACGCAGCAATGGGTGGTGGTGACGTGGCAACGGTTGGTGGTGACGTGGCAACGGTTGTTGGTGACGTGGCAACGGTTGGTGGTGATGCAGCGAAGGTTGGTGGTGTTGCAGCGAAGGTTGGTGGTGACGCAGCAATGGGTGGTGGTGATGTGGCAACGGGTGGTGGCGATGCGGCAACGGGTGGTGGTGACGCGGCAACGGGTGGTGGTGACGCAGCAATGGGTGGTGGTGACGCAGCAATGGGTGGTGGTGACGCAGCAATGGGTGGTGGTGAGTCATCAACAACAGCAGCTGTATCAACACCAGTGCCAGCACAAGCAGAAGCATATGAGGCACCAGCACCATCACCAGCAGCAGCATCACCAGCGCCAACAGCACCGGCACCAGCAGCACCAACAGCTGAAGCAGCACTACTGCCACCGGCACTAGTATCAGAAGCGGCAACAGTGACCATTGTTTCTGTTTCTGATTCAGAGAATCCGGCTATGGAAAGTGCTGCTTGTCCTGATTCAGCGAATCTGGACCTGCGAAGTGCCAGTGGGGGTACTGGAAATAGGGGGAGCTGGGGAATGCACGCCTGTGAGGGAACAGGAAGGGGACAGTCGGAGGAGCAGCAGCACGGGGTGGAGAAGAGGGGAAGGGAGGGGGAATTGGAGGAAGGAGAAGTTGGAGAAGATGGGGTGGAGGAGGAGGGATGGGATGAGCAGGGAGAGGAGAGTTGCGAGGAGGGAAGAATTTTTTCTCCAAAAGAAAAACCGTCCAAATATCAGCAGAAGAAACAGAGGAAAAACAGGAAGAAGAATAAGAAGTAGAGAGGGTAGGTCTGTAAGTACTGTCTTTGTGGAGCCTACCTTTGTAAATAAACTGTACATATATGCCGTTTATGTACCTTCACAGCTCAGCCCGTTGCGAAGGTATGGTGAATTTGCACAAACAATCCCCGAGAAATGCCACTGTTGCATAATTTAAACTACCGTAGTTCTCGCCCAAGGCTGCTGCTTCTTGGACTGCCAGCCAGGGCTGCTTCTTGGACTGCCAGCCAGGGCTGCTTCTTGGACTGCCAGCCACTTCATCCTCTGCAAAATGACTCCTTACAAGACGAATAATCTGATTATGTCTGCTGCATGCTAGTTTCACAATGTAGCCAGCCGATATTACAATTTGCCAGCGTTGTCATTCCCAAAACGAGTACAAATTCGGGACATTCGGAGAATTATTTCCCTTCCCTCATCCTTGTCTTCTGCTTGTGATCCACGCCTTTACCACGCCAGATTCACGCTTTACTAGTTACTAGTATTCTCACCCATCGCGAGTCGTGAAACATGGCCGTCAAGGCAGCATGCATCGTTCCTCGGGTCGCGCTTCTCCCATACCGCCATTGCGGAGCTCGAAACTCCATCAATGGCGGCAAGCGTGACGGGATATGATGGTGGTGTCACTCCGTCTAACGCCATGCGTCGTGCGTCGTGCCTCGTGTATCAACCATACCGCCATTGCAGAGCTCGAAACTCCATCAATGGCGGGAAGCGTGATGGGCATTGTAGTGCGCCGCGTCTTAACGCCATGCCTCGTGCCTCGTCGTAACGGAATCGTGTGTCACGCCTCATGCGCTTCGGTCCGCCAGCTATCCTCCCCATTTTCCCTGCTACTACTACGATCCGGCTACGAGTACGATAAACAGTTCAAACCGCTTATACCACCACGGCTCGTATAACTTCCACGCCTCGGTTCTATGCAGCAAGCACAGTGCAGCTTGCCAGTTGTTTTATTCATAACGCCTTACAACGCGCTGCGGCTTGTCATGCATGTACACGGCACGAAGTTCTTTCGGGATGGAATTTCGCCCTCGGGATTTCGGCATGCTCCCAACCGCGAAAGGATATGCAACGCCGCGCGCTGCATGGGCGCGCCGGCGATTTTCTAGGCAGACTAAACAATGCACTGCATGGCCGCGAGCCGCGGTTTGCAGCAGTCCCGCGAGTCGAACTCCAAAACCCGAACGTTAGTCCGATGTATTTAAGCGATTGAGAAGCTACTTTGCTCTTACGACCGGATCTCCTCCTGCTCGGCCTGAACCCCTGAGTGAGTCTGACGCACGAGAGCGCCTCAAGAGGCACCTCCAGAGCTACTTTGCTCTTACGACCGGATCTCCCGCTCGGGCTGAACTCGTCAGTGTGTGCCTGACGCCATGAATTCCAATCAGCCTGATTCATCTCCTCCGGTTGTCTCAGTTGCTGCTCCTTCACCTGCTGCCTCTGCTGCCGCAGCTGCTGCTGTTAGTGCGGTCCGGACTCATATCCCCCACCTGCCGCTCCCTCCATACACCGTCCACCAGTCTCAGAGGAAACTCTTTTCGGACACTGCTGCGTTTGCAGTCCCACCTCCTCCTCCCCTCGGTGCTGCTCGTGCGTCTGGTCGCCGGGTGCTGGTGGTGCATCGGGGGGATATCACCAAGTGGTTTGTCGACGGTGCAACCGATGCCATTGTGAGTGATTGTAGGGGTTTGCAATCACATGACTTACAGTCATCTCGTTTCGCCGAATCTCCGACAAGCCTTCTCATTCTAAATCTTTTGTTTGTTCGTTCTTTTATGTCTCCCCTCTCACCTCCCCTCATCCTTTCTCGTGTGGCTGGCAGGCTAATACCACAAACGAGAAGGCTCCAGGCGGGGGTGGCTTGGATGCAGGTGAGATGAGATGAGATGCTTCTGAGGACTCAAAAGCAGATTGGATGGAGGTTGAGATAAGAGATGAGAGAAGTGGGGAGAAGAGGAGTTGGGAGAGAGAAGGGTAAAAGAGAACAGATGAACTAAGGTACTACATGCATGTTTCAGATTGTCTTTTGTAACTCTTAAATTCCCTCTCTTACTCATTCACTCACGCCCCCTCTCTCCTTCCCTTCCTCTCCTGCCTTCACCCCCCAGCCATCCACCTGCCCTCCCTCCTTCAGCTTTGTTTCTCTCTTTTTCCTCCAAACCTATCACAACCTTCTCTGCTCTCTTCCCTCCCTTTCCCTCTAAGTTCCGTGCTCTCACCTCTCATGTTGACCCTGTTTTCTCTCCGCCCTCCAGCCATCCACACGGCAGCAGGCCCAACCCTCCTGAAGCTCTGCTACGACCTGCCCTGCTCTCTTCCCTCCCTCTCTCTAAGTTCCCCTCGCCCTCTAATTTCCCCTCTCTCATTTATCCACCTTGTCCCTCCCTGCACCAGCCATCCACAAGGCAGCAGGCCCGGCCCTCCTCAAGCTCTGCCTTGATCTACCCGTGCTGGGGAATGGCAATCGCTTTGAAATAGGAAATGCTGTGACCACAGGGTGAATGATCACCAGGGATGGTGAGATGTGAAGAGTGTGGCACCTCTCCGCCTCTCCTCCTCTCCACCTCTTTTCTCTCCGCCTCTCCTCCTCTCCACCTCTTTTCTCTCCGCCTCTCCTCCTCTCCACCTCTTTTCTCTCCGCCTCTCCTCCTCTCCACCTCTTTTCTCTCCGCCTCTCCTCCTCTCCACCTCTTTTCTCTCCGCCTCTCCTCCTCTCCATCTCTTTTCTCTCCACCTCTCCGCCTCTCCGCCTCTCCGCCCCTCCGCCCCTCCACCCCCCCGCCTCTCCGCCCCTCTTCGAGGTGCTACCTCGAGATAGCCCATGCTGCGGCCAAGGGACCCTTGCACCAAGCTAGTACCTTGCTGAAGGGACCCTTGCCGTGATACCACTCCGCTATGCTCCGTCTTTCACGTCTCCTCTACCGACCGGCCCTGTGCCTCCCCTGCAGGGCTGCCAAGCTGCCAGTGCGCTATGTTATCCATGCGGTGGGGCCAATGTACCAGTCAGAACGCGTGTCAGAACCCTTGCTCAAGAGCGCCTACAGGTGTGTTGCTTGCGATATTCTTAGAAGCAGTGCGGCCTATTGCCAAGCTGCCAGTGCGCTGTGTGATCCGTGCCGTAGTGTACCAGTCAGAACGCGTGTCAGAACCCTTGCTCAAGACCGCCTACAGGTGTGTTACTTGTCATACCTCTCCTCCTAGGCATCTCGTTCTGTATGACCGAAGGATGCTCAGTGAATAGTTTGTTGCTTTCCGTGCTGCCAGCCTGCCACAGCTGCTGCTGCTGGTGATTTCCCTGTCCCTTGTGCTCCCACTTACCCTCTGCACTCTTGTCCCTCCCATGCCCCCACCCTGCCAACAGGTGCATTTTGTGCTTTTTGACAGTAAGACGCTCACCGACTGGCTGGTTGCTATCCGTGCTACCAACCTGCCACAGCTGCTGCCAAAGCAGGTGGTAAAGGAGGCAACCAGGAAGAAGGCACAACAGCAGACACAGCAGCAGCTGCCCCAGCAGACACAGCAGCAGCTGCCCCAGCAGACACAGCAGCAGCTGCCCCAGCAGACACAGCAGCTGCTGCCCCAGCAGACACAGCAGCAGCTGCCCCAGCAGACACAGCAGCTGCTGCCCCAGCAGACACAGCAGCTGCTGCCCCAGCAGACACAGCAGCTGCTGCCCCAGCAGACACAGCAGCTGCTGCCCCAGCAGACACAGCAGCTGCTGCCCCAGCAGACACAGCAGCAGCTGCCCCAGCAGACACAGCAGCTGCTGCCCCAGCAGACACAGCAGCTGCTGCCCCAGCAGACACAGCAGCTGCTGCCCCAGCAGACACAGCAGCTGCTGCCCCAGCAGACACAGCAGCTGCTGCCCCAGCAGACACAGCAGCTGCTGCCCCAGCAGACACAGCAGCTGCCACAGAAGCAGCCGGAACCTGCTTCTGGTTTGCTTGCTCCTGGTGGAAACAGCAGCTATGCTGCCGCTGCTCGCACTGCCACCTCTGCTGCTACCACTACACCCCAACGTGAACTCGCCTATGTTCGCCCTCCCACCAGGGTTTTGGAGTTTTTTCCGAATAGTACTTCTCGCCTGACTCTGACGAAGCACCGGAAGAGTCCCCTCGCTCCCTGTCCAGCCGAAACCCCAACCGAAGATTGCACCGCTTCCAGGGACTCCCAGTCCCTCACTCCTCCCCCCCAACCCAGCTCCCATCCAGTCACATGTGTCTCCTCCAAACCAGATTCCCCTCAAGTCCCTCCCGCTTCTTAACTGTTCTTATCTGCTGCTGGTTTGGCTGTTCCTCCGCTGTGCCCTTGTTGCTGGTGATCCAAGGGTAGAGTTGATGGAGCAGGAACAGGGCAAGTAGAAGTGGGAAATTGGAAGGGAATTGGGGGGAGGGGAAGAGGTAAAGGAAGGAGTAGGGAAGGGTTGGAATGGATATGGAGGGGGTGGAGTGGTGGTGATGGGGAAAGATCTCAACGTATATTGTGCTGAGCTGGCAGTGTGCGCAGTTTCATCATTGTAAATAGTGTTGTATAAAATCTGCAGAAAAGAAATCTGAGAATATTGGGACTCTTGGACATGTGCGTACCATATGTAGACAAGACTGGTTGCCCTGAGAGACAAAGTACATTGACTTTGTTGACAAATTATTAGCTAATGACAATGCTGATTGACCTGTTCCTATATCTCCAACTACTGAACAAGATTCTCTCAAATGTAATATAATTCTTGCCCACAAAAAAACCTCCACCAGCCTGTCTACTTGCTCATACCATAAATCATGTAGAAGACTTCAAATGTGAGGAAAAGTCTAGAATGCACTATTTATGCAGAGGAAATGCAAACCTGGGGAGAAGGGTACTGCAAGAACAGTGACAATAAACTGGGCTACAGACTGTACTGCATAGACAATCAAAGGGGCGATGGTTTACGGAACAGGTAAACACTGCACTTGCACGATCCCGAGCAAGGCTGAAGTCCGCCCAACAAGAACCACCACAAGCAGCAGCAGCAGCTCAGATCTGAGCGGCGGCAGCATCAGCAGCAGAGAAATCCGAGATTCTCTGACGCTTACGCTTGCCCCGCAGCAGCAGCCACCTCCGCAGCGAAATCCGAAACCTTCTTCTCGATCCCCTCTCCCAGCGTAAACCTCTCAAACCGTCTCACGCGGATGTTTTCCCCGAGAGCAGCCACCACCTCCTTCACCACCTCCTTCACCGTCACCTTATCATTCTTAAGAAACGGCTGCTCCAGCAGAGCCAGCTCTGAGACGCGCTTCGCCAGCCGCCCGTCCACAATCTTCCCACGCACCGCCTCGGGCTTGGAAACCAGATCCTCCTTGCCCATCTCAATCTCCCGCTCCTTGGCCAGCCAGGCCGAGTCCACATCTTCCTCGCTCACCACCTGGACCCCCGGGCACGCCACAACCTGCATCGCTAGGTCGTCGACCAGTTCCCGGAACTTCTCCCCGCGTGCGACGAAGTCCGTCTCGCAGTTGATCTCGATCAGCGCGCCGATGCGCCCGTCGTGAATGTAGCTTCCCACGATGCCCTCCGCGGCAATGCGCGACGCCTTCTTGTCAGCGCTGGCCAGACCCTTCTTGCGGAGGAGCTCCCGGGCGGCGTCAACGTCTCCCCCAGTGGTCTCGAGGGCTTTCTTACAGTCCATCATGCCGGCGCCGGTGGCGTCCCGAAGCTGCTTCACTGCCGCCATAGACACGGCGACCTTGGGCTTGTCGGCGGCAGGCTCGGGTGCAGCTTCGGCGGGAGCAGCGGCCGCGGCAGGGGCGGGTGCAGCAGGGGCCTGCACCTGGCTGGCTGCCGCAACCTCCGCTGCGAAATCAGCCGATTTCTTCTCAATCCCCTCCCCGAGGTTGAACCGCACGAAGCGACGGATGCGAATGTTCTCCCCGAGAGAAGCAATGGCCTGCTTCACCACATCCTTCACCATCACCTTATCGTTCTTGATATACGGCTGCTCTAGCAGCGCGAGCTCATTCAACCTCTTCGCCATCCTCCCGTCCACAATCTTCCCGCGAACCGCCTCGGGCTTGCTCGCCAGATCCTCCTTCCCCAGTTCCACCTCCCTCTCCTTCGCCACCTGCTCCGCAGGCACATCCTCCACAGATACCACCTCCACCTGCGGACACGCCGCCACCTGCATGCCCAAGTCTTCGACCAGCTCCTGGAACGCACTCCCTCGGGCGACGAAATCCGTCTCGCAGTTCACCTCAATGAGAACTCCGATGCGGTCGGAGTGAACGTAGCTGCTGACGAGCCCTTCGGAGGCGATGCGCGAGGCCTTCTTGTCGGCGGAAGCGAGGCCCTTCTTGCGGAGGATCTCGCGGGCCGTGTCGAGGTCCCCGTTGGCGTCGGTGAGGGCCTTCTTGCACGCCATCATGCCGGCTCCCGTCTCCTCCCTCAGCTGCTTCACCACCGCCGCTGAAATGCCTGTAGTGGGCGTTGTGATTGGAAGGGGTTGGGGATGGGGGGATGAGCGGAGGAGTCTAGGGATGGCAAATCTGGATGCCATCATCCCTGTGGACCCATGCATGTGCCCTCGTGTATGTGCCCTCATGCATGTGCCCTCATGCATGTGCCTTCACTCAAAAGCGTGGGCATGCGAAATAGTGTAAACCAAGAGCGAGAATAAAGACAGGAAGGAAAAAGAGGACAGGATTAAGGAAGAAGAGGTGGCGACGGAAAGAAAGAGGAAATGAGCACTGAAGGAGGAGAAACGGGGAGAGAGGGAACATATGGAGGACAGTTGGGAGGGTGGAGAAGAATCAACCAGACAAACGATGTTCCTGTTAGCTTAGTGATTTTTGGCTAAGGGACTTCTACTGTGGAGCCTGACGGGGTTGGAGAGGCAGAACAAGTACCCATCTGCGGATGAACTGAAAAAACGATTTGTTAGTGTACAGGTGACAATAGGATGTTGGCTGGGGGGAGAGCTGGGTGACTGCTACAGGCGGAAGGGGAGAGAAGATAAAAGAGTTGATAGGAGTGAAAGGGCGGATAGGTGGTTTTGGCCTAATCGGTGGTACGTGGGTGAGCGGAGAACTGCACCGGGATGCTTTGGTTGGTGGGAGGGATTGATAAAAGGAAAGGCAATGGGAGGGAGGCTGAGACGAGGTGAAGGAACAGGCGTGGGGCGATGTTTGTTTGGCGGTTGGAGTCATCTCTGGTGCAGAAGAGAAAACGTTTTCTGCATTATCAAGGTAAAATGTTACACAAAAGGGTCAAAACAGACAGTAAAGTAGCCTGAAACCTTGAGCCCTAGACAGCATCCCACCACCATGCAAACAGACGCGTCATGCAACTAGCTCGGCTCGCCCTTCTGAACCCTACCCCTTCCCCTCCCTATTCTGCCCCCCCCCCCCCCCCCTCAACTCGCCTACGTTCCCACTGCTACTCTACTCACTGCTACCTGCTGCGGGGGTGGCGGCAGGAGCAGGAGCAGCAGCCGCCTCAGCCGCAGGAGCAGGAGCAGCCTCCTCCTTCTCTTCCACAGCGGGGATATCCGCCACCACCACTGCCTCCGCAACCTCCGCAACAGCTTCAGCCGCAGCAGGCTCTGCAGCAGCAACAGCCTCGAGCGGCACAACAACCGCCTCCTCCACCTTCTCCTCCTTCACTTCCTCCTCTGCCTCCTCAGCAGCTGCCACTGCCTCTGCTGCCTCCTCTGCTGCCTCCTCTGCTGCCTCCTCTACAGCCTCCGCCACTGTCTCTACCGCTGCCTCGATCGTCTCTTTCTTCTCCAGCACCAGCAGCTCCTCCTCCGCGTCAGCAGCAGGGGCGCGGCGGGGGGCGTCCGTGACG